TCCTTATGAATGTTCTCTAGGTTCAAGGATGTTACAAAATGGCCCACAAATACTAAATTTTTAAAAATTTTCCATTTTAGCCATTTTAAGTGTCCAGTCAGGGGCATTAAGTACACTCACATTGTTGTGCAGCCATCTCCAGAACTTTTTCATTGTCCCAAACTGAAACTTCAGACACGAACTTCTCGTACTTTCTCCCCAGACCCCAGCACCCACCATTCTACTTTCTGTCTCTATGACAAATTCCCTATGAGTCTGACTTCTCAAGGGACCTCATAGGTACTCTTGTCCTTATTTAATTTCCATAGCCCAAGTAAAGCTTGTGTATTTGAAAGGGACAAAGACAACTCTTTTTTTTTTTCCTTTCTAATTAGAATATGACTTGGAAGAGACATGTCCAGGGGTGGGGGCTGCCTTGGCTTTTGTGTTTCAGGAAGTCTAGTCTTGCCCTGTCTCGAGTACTTGCTTGGAAAGAAGTGGGTGGCATTCCCTATTTGGGAACACAAGTTAATAACAGACCTCATCTTGTGTGGGATACACGCATCTTTAACTTGCTGCAGATGGTGGCTTTGTTGGCATCTGGAGCCGTGACGCCAGGGGGTTCTGCAGGCCTTCCTTCTCAGTCCACTAGACTCCTCCTCTCCCGGCAGCTCAGTTTTCCAGTGCTGAGCCCACCAGGGGAATCGAGGCAGAGAAACTGGCAGTTCTGTAGTCTCACCACCTGCACCCGCAGCACATTCCCCGCTTTTGCTGAAATTCTAACCAGCCCTGCACTTGCAGGGTCAGCTCCAGCCAGGGATTTTCTGCAGAGTCACCCCCTCCATCCCCTGGAATGACCGAGAAAAAGGCCTGTTTGTGGGAACAAGGCATCCTGCCCAAGTCGCCCCTGTGTTTCATGGTCTGTGAAGACCCTGTGGCCTTGCTGATCCAACCCCCCTCCTGGTTTTATTTAACTAGTCCAGTACTTGTTGCACTTTGATGTCTGTGCTGGGCGGGGACAGTAAGAGGAGGAAGGGCACCATTTTAAAATTAAAAAGGAGATTTTAATTCAGGGGGAGGCAGAAAGAACAGTTTTGGAGTGATGCTGGAGCCCAGGGCCAAGCAGCAGTGGGTGAGAGCTGGGGGCCTTGAGTGCCAGCTAAGCCCTGCACGGAGCTGGCCATGATTTGGTTTTGGGTGGACCTGGCATGACCAGGTGGTGGGGGTGGGGGGGTATGGGGGAGAGAAAGGATGGGGCAGGACACCAGAACATCTATGTTCACATCACTAGTGACTTGGCTCTGTGGAGTTTCCTCTGTTCTTAATCCCATTTGAAGTCCAAGTTTGGACTTCAAAGTGGTGAGGCACTTCTGGAATGCATTTGGTGGTGGGGCACCTGGGGAGGGCATTCAGTGGTGGGGCACTTCCGGAATGCTTTTTTTTTGAGTTGGAGTCTCACTCTGTTGCCCAGTTTGGAGTGCAGTGGCACACTCACGGCCACCTCAGCCTCGACCTGCTGGGCTCTGTCGATCCTCCTGCCTCAGCCTTCTAAGTAGCTGGAACTACAGGCGTACGCTACCACGCCCGGCTAACTTTTTAATTTATTGTAGAGATGAGGTCTGGCCAAGTTACCCAGGCTGGTCTCGAACCTGCAGGCTCAGGCAATCCACTTGCCTCAGCCTCCCAAAGGGCTGGGATTACAGGCTGAGCCAATGAGCCTGGCCCGGAATGCATTTTGAAAGAGCAGCAAATGAGAAAGGTGAGAGAATGGGGAAGTAGAAGATCCCTGTCTCCAAGCAAGAGGCACTCACTATCACCCTGTGATTGAGTTTCCTATTTCCCAGGTTAGGAGCCCAAGGCTCGGGCAGCTGCAGGGTTTGCCCAGGGAAGCGGGAGGGCAGAGGCGCAAACCCAGATCTGCCTGCACTGAAGCCTTCCTCCACTGTGTTCCGGGAGCAGCTACAGCCCGTCCAGAGGAGGACAGCCCCCAGACAGCCCTACTTTTCACGAATTCCAGCTCTGGGCTGCTCAGAACATTTGAGCTGCATTCCAGGGGCATTCCAAGTTGCCAGACTGACCCGAAGGGCTTAGCATTGGATTGTCCCGCTGAGAATAAGGCTCAAAGTGCCCAGGTTCCCCAGCAGGAAGCATGTCCAAACTATTTCTACAGCTCTGGCACAAAGTTCCTGCCCTGCTGGGGGCCATGGGAGTCTGTGTTCCACCTGTGAGCCTTTCTCAGAGTCCAGAGGAAGCCCTGGGGCTTGGCTCACCTGTCGGGGGTTCCGCACACCTGCACTGGGCCTTGTTGCCCCCATTTCTCTCGGGCAGTGGTGGGTAAATCCCCATTGATCATTCCACACATAATCCAGCCACTATTTATGAAGTGCTTACTATGTGCTTGGAGCTTTATAAACTTATCTATCTTCTCAGCAACTCTGCAAAGGTATTGTGAGCTCCATGTTACCACGGGGGAAGCTACGGCTCAGAGAGGTGACTCCTCCTGCCCAGGGTCACAGAGCAAGAAAGTGTTGGGGCTGGGATTGGAAACCAAGGCTGTTTGGCTCCAAAGCTTACACTATTTCTACTTAACTCTGTAGCTGCTACACATAGAGTTTTTTGCCGTGATATACGAGGACCAGAGACAGATCCTGCTCTTAAGATATTTATGGTTGGGAGGGTGAGGCAGACAAACAGTGTTAAAGAATTGTGAGGTATGTGCCGTGCACAAGGTAGTGATGTGGAGCAGAGGGACACCTAAGCCAGGCAGGATGGGCAGGCTGGCCTCAGAGAGGAGGTGACAGACAGCACGGGAGGCAGGCCAGGACCAAAGAGGGGCTTCGAGGAGACATGAGGGCTGAGACTATCAGTTGGGGACCTGAGTGGGCCTGGCTGGAGAAAGGAGGGAAAGGAGTGCCAGAGACAGAGTGGGGAACCAGGATTGGCTGTGTAGGGGAGAGCAGCCTAGGTGTTAGACCAGATGGCTAGGTCACCTCATGGTCATCTGGGAGTAAACAATAGCTATATTTTATCTGTAACAGATAAGATCCTGTGTTTTGTGAATGCTTTTTAAACAATGAATTGAGCAAAAATGAATGAATGAATGAATGGCTCATGTCACCCAGCATTTTGGGAGGCTGAGGTGGGAGGATTGCTTGAGCCCGGGAATTTGAGACCAGTTTAGGCAACATAGCCAGTATCTACTTGGGGAGCTGAGGTGGAAGAATCACCTGAGCCCAGGAGGTGGAGGCTGTAATGAACCGCGATCGTGCCACTGCATGCCAGCCTGGGCAACAGAGTGAGAACCTGACTCAAAAAGAAGAAAAAAACCCAAATGATATGGCTTTCACTCATGATGACTCACATGCTTTGGTGCTGGAAGACCCGTGACTCCAGATGATTTGATGTGAGTTCCAGCTCCTGGTGAATCTTCCACGTTCACCAAACAGCATCACTGGGAAATATGGAGAGGGGACAGCTGAAGTGGGGGATGGGCCAAGTGGCCAGGTTGCAGGGGACTGGTGGGCTTTGCTGTGGGATGGACCTTACCCACATCACAGCAGGACTCCTGCCTGCCCAAGGGTGCCTGGCAAGAATAAGAATGCGTGAGTACACCTTTCACTGCAGAAAGCAGCTCTGAGTTCCTGGAAACCCTGGGGAAAAGGAAAAGCCCTGAGGTTGTCACTGGAGATCTTGGGTCTAGGTGAGACTCCCTCCTGGGTATGTGAAATGGCCCAGTGCAGCCTCAGCTCATGGAGGGATAGGGTGTCCATGGGCCACATGTTCTAGATGCATGTTTGACTATAGAGATGCTTGTGGTTGTTGACAGCCAATAGTTAAAGTTGGTGATTCAGGAAGTGTCAGCCTCACTCAAGAGCAAGCCTCCCTCTGGGGCCACTCTGAGGGCCCAGCCTTGGAAGAATAATGAGCTAAAAAATACGTGCTGAGAAAGACTGCCAAGTGTGGTGGGATTGATCCCATGGAGCTCTGGAAAGCTGTTAGGAAGAAATCATGGTGTTTCTTAAAGCCCCTTTTTGTAATTTCCTGCTGAGAGGTGACCTGCCTAGCAGCTGAGACTGTCAGAGCAAATGTTTCTTGGCACATAAGTCCCATATGCTAAGAACCAAGTATGTGGGCACCTTGGTGCCTGGTTGCTCCTCCCTTGGGACTTCTCCCTCCTGTGAGCTGAGGGCTGGAGGGGTGCCCACTGAGGCCATGACCTGGATTAACGATGGAGCCTGGGTTCCCAACTCAGTTGGACCATTGTCCAGCTGTGAGGGCGTGGCCATCTGCTTGACACTTGTGAGCCTTTTATCAGTCTTTTTGTGAGCAGGAGATAGTACACCAAGGTGTCTATTGCTCCTGAACCAGTGCTCCCTGCCCTGCCAGCCCTGTTCTCACCAAACTTCTTACAGATCTCCGTTTCTGTAGAAGAGAGGGTCTGTGGCAAACAAAGGGCAAAAACTATCACCAGCCTCAGTTTCCTTATCTGTAGTGTGAGGACTGATGCCCTCCTTACAAATTGCTATGAAGATGAAAGGAGAGAACACAGATGAAGGTTTCAGAAGCTGGTTTAGAAACGTTGGTTCTTATCTGACTTGGCTTGTTGCATTTTGAGTCCGCTCCCTCATTTCCAGTCTCACCTCTGGAAAGAGGCAGGTTGTTTGTGCCCTGACTGCTGTCTTCCTTGCCCACTGGACTGTGAAGGCAGGGACCCCTTCTGGGCAGGAGTTGCGTCTCTGACGTGTGGCTAGAGCAGGGGTTCCTCCCATGTGTGCCGGGACGTCAGGTGCTGATCAGCAGCTCTGTCAGAGTTGGTTTCACAAGGCACCAGTTGAACATTCAGGCCTTTCCAGGAAGGAGCAGGATGGGTGCTCCCAGCAGGGTTTGGTGGAGTTTCCAGTACTGGTTTGCAGAGTCACTAAAGGATGTTTGTGCCCACCACCTTTTCAGACCTGGTTGATGCTCTAGTCGAGACCTAAGGAAGCACAGTTGATGGTGCAGCTGGGCTGAGGGGTGGGGACGGGGACTACATGGGGTGAATGGTGATCCTCCCATCAGCTCGTTCTCTTCCCTGGACAGTGGGTGCAGACACCTTCATGGAAGCTTGCTGTGCAGACGGACACCGGATGGCCACTCAGCAGAAGGACTGCTCGCTGCCATATGCCTCGGAATCCAAAGAATGCAGGTATGTTTGCCAGTGGCCACCGTCTTACCAGAACAATGTACCTTTAGAGGAAAGCAGGGGAGGGAAGCATAGTGTATGCCAGACCCCCAGGGAGATCTGCCCAGGCTGTGGGTGGTGTGGTGGGTGACCCCTGCCTCCCACCATCAGCTGCTCTCTCCTCTGTACACCCATGGGTCTCGGCCCACCCTCCCTGCCCCACCCTATGATTGTTGGGGTATCTGTCCCTTTCACTGAGCTGGAAACAAGAACTGTGTTTGCAGCTGCCCTATCACAGCTGGGCAGCAGTGGGTAAGTCAGTTTCCTCCTAAGAAAAGGGGATGGTTGTAGAGTGCAGAGGCGGTCATATGACTGGAAGTGCTTTGCAAATGGAAATATGGACCGCCCGCACACCCCGAAAGCGCTAATGAACCAGGCCCAGAGGGAAGAGTTCCACAACCAGTTGTTGGCCCTATGCAGTAGCCAACATCTGGATTGACGGTTTTTAGTCTTCTCTCCCTAAATGGACTTCAGTTTCCTGACATTATGGGGACAATGTAAGCTTAGAATAATAATGCAAATAGGTAATGTTGGTCATCATAAAAATAATAGTAAAAATCCAACCTGGCGTAGTGGCTCGCGCCTGTAATACCAGCAATTTTGGGAGCCTGAGGTGGGAGAATTGCTTGAGCCCAGGAGTTCAAGACCAGCCTGGGCAACATAGTGAGACCTCATCTGTACACACACACACACACACACACACACACACAAATACACACAATTAGCTGGGCATGGTGGTGTGTGCCTATTGTCCCAGCTATTCAAAAGCCTGAGGTAAAAGGATCGTCAGAGTCCAGAAGGTCAAGCCTGCAGTAAGCCATGATCATGCCACTGCACTCCAGCCTGGATGGCAGAGTGAGACCCCCAACTCAAAAGAAAAGAAAAGAAAAAGTAAAATTCCTGGCAGACCCGTATGGAGCACCTACTTTGTGCCAAGCATTTGACATGCATTATGTCATGTAACCTTATTATGAATCCCATTTTATAGATGAGGAAATTGGGCTTTCCCTGGTGCCCAGCTGGTAAATGAGTCGGTGAGGATCTGAACCCTGAGCACATGTCAATGAGGCGGAGTCTGAAAGCATCCAGCCTTTGGCAGCCATTTGTCTTCTCTGCCTTTAGTCCACGTCTTAGAGACTCTGACAGTTGGAGCCATGGGGTGCGGGTGGAAAGCCGTCATGGAAAGAATGTGCAGGGATGTCTCATTCTCCTCTTCACCTACATTTGCATTGGTGTTGGCGGTGATCACAGACTGCTGCCTGCCAGCTATGACGGAGGACATAAATCCTGACTGAGGAATTTCTTGAAAAGTCAAAAGCATTATAGACCAAACAAAAGGGAGAGAAAGCAAGAAAATCATACAGTTTGGACTGCCTGGAAGACCACGCAGTCAGGATTTATGGGGCATCCAATGAGTGTGAACTGTGATCCTGGCTCGTGGCATAGCGCTGGAGATGTCGGACAGTCCCTGGTAATTCTGCAGTGAGGCTGGGCATTCAGTGCCAGGCATTCTGTTTACAGCCTGCTCCAAAGAGAGCTAGCCTGGCTCCTGGAAGGACAAGGGCTGGGTAGATGGACCATCCTGGGCTGGATTTCCGGCTGGGTGACCTCAGCCAGCTTGCAACCTCAGTAAAACAGGACCCATGATATTTCCGTTTCAGGACTGTTATAATGATCACAGATGACATATGAAACCAGCACCACAAAGCCAAACAGTGGGAGTATATTAGGCTGCCATAACAAAGTACTACAGACTGGGCAGCTTCAACAACAGACATTTATTTCCTAACAGTCTTGGAGGCCAGAAGTCCAGGATCAAGGTGTCGGGAGAGTTGGTTCCTCCTGAGACCACTCTCCCTGGTGTGTGGATAGCTGCCTGTACTCTGTGTCTTCACATGGGTGGCCCTCTGTGTGTCTGTGTCTATCTCCTCTTCTTATAAGGACACCAGTTTTATTGAATTAGGGCCCACCCTAGTGACCTCATTTACCTTAATTTCCTCTGTAAAGGCCCTATCTCCAAATAGAGTCACACTCTGAGGTACTGAGTTAGGACTTCAAAAGATGGATTTTGCGGGGAGGGGGAACAATTCATCCCCTAACAGGGAGCCACTGTTGTAAAATCAAAGACTTCAAAAGTGGGTCAGCAGCCAGTCAAGCCTCTCCATGTACAGATGGAGAAACTGAGGCCACAGATTCAGCAGCTCTCTGGGCCCTGCTTGTGATCTTGGATTTTAGTTACATGTATACATTTTACTAAATGTATTACTGACTTCTATTCACCGATGTTTTTGCTAAGTTTTAGAATTATCTCTAATCTCTGATGGGTCCTAGAGTACACAGAAAATACCCTCTTATCTGTGCAGCGGACATTTGTTTTATGATCTGCAGTCTGCCAGGGGTAAATTTTAAAGATGCATTAAGAGATTCCCTGAAATGTAGGAAATATCATCAGAATGGCCCAGAGGGAGTTTATTCTCTCTTTGCGGGAGGCAAGGATGCAGGTCCTAGGTCTCGTGGAGCCTCGACTTGTTTCTGGTGGTGCTTACATCCTTACGGGAGGCCTAAGGACATTCTGGCTGGTTGGATAGTGTACCTTTATCCCAGTATCTCCACAACATGTTATTGAATGCCAAGGATACCACTCAAGGGTCACCAAATGTGAATGACTGGCCTTTTGTTTCACTGAGACCCTGGGAGGTCAGTTTGTTCATCCCAGTGGGCACACAGGCCAGGACCCGAAAACCTGTCTGAGACCGCTTAGTGAGTTAGCCACTGAGCTGTCTGGTTCTAACAGTACCAGTGTCCTGTGGCCCTGGGTGCTGTCTGCTGCCCTCCATCCCTGCCCTTTGCCCTATTCACATTGACATCTGAACCTCATATAATCTGCAGATCAGAGGCGGAACCTGGGCTCTTGGGTTCATGGTGAGACAGAGCTCACCCAAGAGTTCAACATGCAGGCATTGATGCCGCTGTGGGGGATTCTCAGGTGACCAAGACTCCACCCCCCGAGCCCTGTGTCACTTGGAGCTCCACAATCAGAGCTCAGTGCTAGGGGAGGCAAGGGTTGTGTGTGGGGGGCATGGCCAACAGTTCAGTTGTGTTGATATAGGGATTCTCTAATGAATTTGGTACGTAGTATCTTTTTTTTGAATTGGGTCTCACTCTGTTGCCCGGGCTAGAGTGCAGTGGCACTATCATGGCTCACTGCAGCCTCAACCTTCTGGGTTCAGGCATTCCTTCCGCCTCAGCCTCCTGAGTAGCTGGGACCATTGGTGTGTGCCACCAAGCCTAGCTAGTTTTTTTATTTTTTTGTAGAGATGAGGTCTCGCCATGCTGCCCAGACTGGTCTTGATCTCCTGGGCTCAAGCCATTTTCCTACCCTGGCCTCCCAAGGCATAGTATCATTTTTAATGAAGGCAGGCAAGAGAGAGAGCTGATTAGAAATTAAATTCTATTTCCAAGAATCCTCTTACTAGTAATATTTAAAGGGGGCGAGAAATGGAGAACATCGCCCACTTGGTTACGCCATTGCTTTAGCATCATGTTTCCTCTTTGAAGTGGCATTCTGTGAGGCTCATTTGTTGAAGTAAAATTCTCAGTTTGGGTTCACGCAGCAAGCCTTTGCTGACTCCCGATGCTCAGGAAGAAGCAGATGAAATAACATGGCCAGGAGAGCCCCAGACCAGCCCTCCTGGGCAGGAGTTGAAAGTAGGGGGTTCTGAGGGTTCTGTGAAGCCCAAAGAAACAGGGGGAGGGGTTTGGCTCCCCTGGGCATGTGAGAGACTCAGAGAGGACTGGAGGGAGGAGCCAACCTCTCTACAACCAGGGCTCTAGCCAAGCAAGGGCAAAGCGACTTGAACCTTCAATAGGGACACATTTGGGGTAGTCAGGACCTGCCTGCCCTGATGCTTCCTGATGCATGCATCATTTTGACCCCAAAGGGTCTCAGTTCCTTAGCATTCAGAACTAAATCCACCTCAAACCTGGGGTAAGATCAAACCCACGAATGCTTCAGTGTCTTTTGGAGGAATTTGGAGACACTCCGAGTCAAAACCCAAGGCAGATTCCAACTGGATGTTCAGTCCAGCGCTCCTCTGGACCCCTCTGTTTATTGGTTTCACAGCTATTATTGAGGGCCTGCTAGGGGCCAGGCACTGTTCTGGGTGAATGTGGGTAAGTCAGTGGGCAAACAGAAAAGGTCCCCTAGCTTCGTCAGGTGGCATTCTGCAGGGGATGCAGCCAAAAAATTAAATAATAAATAAATTGTATGGTTTGTAAGAAGGTAACATGCGCCGTCAGGGAGAAAAAAAAAACAAATAGGGGCTTCTAGTCAGGGAGAGGCTGTTGGGGACAGCCTCTCTGAGAAGGGGCATTTGAGCCAGGACCCAGAGGAGGCCAGAGAGTGAGCCGTGTGGAATGTGGGAAGAGTGTTCCAGGCAGAGGGAACAGCCAGCATAGAGGCCTAAAGGAGAGACTGTGCAGTCATCACAGGGCAGCAACAAGGGGGCCAGGGTAGCTGGAGTGGGTTGAGCGAGGGTGGGGCTAGGTGGGAAGACACAAGGTTTGAGGGCTTCTAGGATGGCCAAGGGGGGCGTGAGGGCCATTTTGTTTTGTTTATTTGAGTCGAGGTCTCACTGTGTTGTCCAGGATGGAGTACAGTGTCATGATCACAGTTCACTGTGACTTTCTGGGCTCAGGTGATCCTTCTGCCTCAACCTCCTGAGTAGCTGGGACTACAGGCATGCACCACCATGCTCGGCTAAGTTTTTGACTTTTGTATAGACGGGGGCTCACTAAGTTGCTCGAACAAGTCAAAGGGGGATCATTTAAGAGACGGACTTTGAGTGAGACGAGAGACCTGTGGGAGGTTCGAACAGAGATGAGTGGGTGAAAGAGACTCTGTGTGGAGGAGAGATCGAAGGAGGTGGAAGCAGCTGCTAAGGGACTGACTGGCTGCCTTGACGATCCCGGGTGGAGAGGTCAGTGGTTTGGGTGGTGGCAGGGAAGGTGGCGAAACATAGGCAGATTGAGGACGGGACTTGAAGGCAGATCACCAGGTTGTGTTACTATTTGGACGTTGAGTGGTGGTTGGGGTTTTGCTCTGAGCAGCTGGACAGATGGGGATGCCTGGACCAGAAGGGGTGGCGTGGGAGAGAGGGTTGTGGGTGCTGGGAGAGCAGAGTCAGGTTCTCCCAAGTGGAGACCTGAGTGGTTGGTTGGGGACCTGATCAGGAGTGCAGGGAAGAGGTTGGGTCAGAAGAGAAGCAGGGTGCTGTCAGCATGGAGATGGCATTTAAAGGTGGGATGCTACCTCACACAGAAACAAAGATCAGAATATCACATGTTCTCACTCATATAATGGACCTTGAACATCCAATGTAATACTATAAGAAAATGACTGACGGTACTGGGAAACTATGGGGGGGAGGGGGAGGGGATTAACAGTAGCAAATATCTGTCTGGGGCTGGGAAAACACCTCTTATCAACAGGGTGTCTGAATGAAACGTAATTGTACACCTAACCCTTAACTGTACCCCACAAAACTATAATAAAAATACTGATTAATTATTAAAAAAAAAAAAAAAAATGTGGGATGCTGATGAGGCCAACAGAGGGTGAATGTGAGACAGGAACGAGTGAGCCCGAGGCAGCTGGGCACCCTGGGCTGCCTAGGATACTTGGTTGTTTCTGCTTTTTTGACTATTGTATATAATACTGCTATGAACATGGGTGTACAAATATCTGTCTGAGACCCTGCCTTTAGTTCTTCTGGATATATACCCAGAAGTGGAATTTCTGGATCATGTGATCATTCTATTTTTAATTTGTTGAGGAACTGTCTTCCATAGCATCTGCACCAATTTATATTCCCACCAGCGATGCACAAGGGTTCCAATTTCTCCACATCCTTTCCCACACTTGGTATTTTCTGTTAGCCAATATTTTTTGCCTGGATGGGTGCATGTGTGTCTGGTTCCTCTCTCTGGTAATTTAGAGCAATGCCTGTTATTTGCAAATCCACCGAAAGCATGGTTGACATGTGTAAGAGCCCGGTATAGACAAATCCATCAGAGCCCAAGGACAGTTCTGGAGACACACAGGAAGCAGGGTGCAGACCTCCAAGTCCCCCAAAAGAGGGGTGAAGGAAGGGCAGGCTGGGGGCGGCTGTCCATGTACAGAGGCAGCCTGACTGGCAGCACAGGGAGGTGCAGGTTGGGCGGCTCTTCCTGCCCTTGCTGGCTTTGGCCGAAGCTGGGGTTATTTCGGGTCTGGTTGGGAGCCACCTGTGACACACACTTCCTGCTCGGTCGCCTGCAGGGTCAGCCCGTGCCCTGAGCTGTCACAGCCCCACGACTGTGTTTAAGGTAGGATTCCGGGAGGTCATGGCCCTCCTGCTATACAAGCCCTTGGTTTCTGAGAGCCTTTCCCCAGGGCCTGGCAGGACTGGAAGGTGTGGGCACCACGGCCTAGCCATCATCACCAGCATCCCTCACTCTGCAGCCTGGGGCTAGTACCTCACAAAACTCTCTGGAGCTGTTTTCTTGAGCCTGGAAAATGGGGATGAGCATGGAGAATTTAACTTGATAAAAGGATGAGAGGGTCTGGCTCTGAGTCAGCAGCCAGCTGGCTTTTGTTTTTCAAATGGGTGGAGACATTCTGTGGGTGAGGCTCCCAACTCAGAGGGGTGAATCGGCCACTCCAATGGCCGAACTGGGTCTCCTGACTCTGACCCCCAGACTCTTCATGTGGTTTTGTTTGTTGTTGAGTCAGTGTCTCACTCTGTTGTCCAGGCTGGAGTGCAGTGGCAGGATCACAGCTCACTGCAGTCTTGACCTCTTGGGCTCAAGCGATCCTCCCACCTCAGCCTCTGAGTAGCTTAGACTATAGGTGAGCACCACTGTGCCCAGCTAACTTTTTGATTTTTTGTAGAGATGAAGTCTCGCTATGTTGCCTAGGCTGGTCTCAAACTCCTGGACTCAAGCAATCCTTCTGCCTCAGCCTCCCAAAGTGCTGGGATTATAGGCACAAGCCACTGCACCTGGCCTGCACTCAGTGTTTCTAACTAAACACTTATTGAGCACCTTCTATATACCAGACATTGTGTGTGTTTCTCTGTGTGTCTATGAGAGCAGAGGAGGGGATGCCCAAAGATGAGAGAGCCCCCATCCCTGAGGGACTCTTGCTCCTGGACCCTGTGTGCTGGTGGGAGGCCCCTCACATGCAGAGTTCTGACCCAGCCCACCCCCCCCACCCGCAGGATGGTCCGGGAGCAGTGCTGCCACAACCAGCTGGAGGAGCTGCACTGTGCCACAGGCATCAACCTAGCCAACGAGCAGGACAGCTGTGCCATGTCCCAAGGTGACAACTCCAGCCTGGAGGCCATGTTTGTGAAGGTGAGGACTGGACACTGTAAGGGACCTCTGCCCTCTCCTGCTAGCCAGCGGACCCAGGCCCCTCTCAGCTGAGCAGCCCTGTCCTTTGACACCTCCCACCCCAGCTGACCTTTCCTTTTAAGCAGCAGGGGCTGCCCAGCCTGGGAGGGAGGTGGACAACCTAAGTGTTCCTTCTCCTCCAGTCTGGTCAGTAAACTCTGGAGGACACCTGGAACCCAGCCCTACACTGCGGAATTAGGGTGAAGTGAGCTGGCCTTGCCCTGAGGACCACCTGTCCCTAGGCTTTAGGCAGAATGCAGGGGACATCTGGGGTCTTCAGAATCTTTCTCAGTTCAGAGCAGGCACCCCACCCCACCCAGGAGGGCCTCAAGTTTCTCTGCTCCCATTCTTGTGCCATTTTGGGGCACTCCTAGGACCCCAGGCCCAGGCAGGTCCCTCGGGGCCACTATGGCCGTAGAAGACCTGCATCTTTGCCTGGGGTGGAGAAGTGCCTGGTAGCATTCCTAGTCTGAACACTATGAGGAAACTTAAGGTGTCCAGGCCATCCCTCCCTTACCACCCACTGAGGAAGAAAAACAAGCCTGGTCAGGAGGGCCCAGAACCAAAAATGGGCCTTGACCAAGTCCTTTGCTAACACCATAAACCTCTGATAAACTCCATAACCACCTTAAAGGAGGAAACTGAAATTCAGAAAGGCCCATACTCCAAAATGGCCTGTCAACAGTCATGTCAGGGATCTAGAGGGAGTCCTGCACCAAAGGTAAGCTCTGAATAAATGGTGTAATCCCCTTCCCCGGGCACTCCTAGGACCCCAGGTCCAGGCAGGTTTCTCAGGGCCACCATGGCTGTGGAAGGTCTGCATCTTTGCCTGGGGTAGAGAAGTGCCTGGTTGCATTCCTGGTCTGAACACCATGAGGAAACTTAAGGTGTCTAGGCGTCCCTCCCTTACCACCCACTGAGGAAGAAAAACAAGCCTGGTCAGGAGGAGCTCAGGCCAGGAGAAACTCGGGTTTGGCAACATTCGCCTGGTCAGCTGGGCTTCCGTTAGAGGTGCCAGATGACGACAGTGTGTTCCCTGGAAGAAGCTTTCCCATTCCTAGTTAGGAAAGCTGTGGAGGAATTTCAAGGAGCAAGAGTCTGAATGAAGTCTGGATTCCAGGAAGGGTGTGTGGACTCCTTTTGGGGGATTTCTCTCTCCACCACAGATTGGGCCGTGGAGGGAGACTCCACGTGGAAGAATTGAGGGTCCCGAGCCACCTGGCCTGCGTGGGCTTTCACAGGGGGAGGCTGTGAAGTGTATCCAGTGACTGACCCCTGGGCAGGGCTGGGGCCCAGCTGCTGCTGTCTACCTGGCAGACAGCTGTGCCCGTGTCCCCAGACTTGAGGGGAAAAGGGGGATGTGGAAAAAAGCATGGAACATTCTAACAGATCACTTTGGCAGATGAGTGGTTTGTGTTTCTGGGGAAGATTATCATACCTCAAAAGGTTGGTAAGGTAACCAATGCTCCCTGAATGTTCTGGTCACAGAGGGGGTTAGAGTAAGTAGCCTGGAAGACCTGTCACCCTCCACAGGCGTGAAGGCAGAGTCCCACGTCCCTGGCTCCTGCTGGAGGCTTTCTGGCTAGTTCTGTGTCTTCTTAGGATACCCGCGTATCAGGGGTGGGAAGAGGAGGAAGGTGCAAGGCCCTTTAAGGTTCCTTTCAAAGCCAGAACCTAGAAGATTCAGGGGGCCTCAGCTTGCTTTGGTATTTACTGCCCACATTTAGAAGTGGTATCTAAGTCAGACATGAGTCATCGCTGTCCTGGGTGCATGGACGAGGCGATCAGAGAGGTGTCCCCTGAGCACGCTCATGGGCCCTGCTGGGCCGTCTGTCCCACTCTTCCATCTGGAGTCTCCACCTGTGTTTGCAGAGGTGCTGCCACTGCTGTCTGCTAGGGAGGGCGGCCCAGGTCCAGGGTCAGAGCTGCGAGTACAGCCTCATGGTCGGCTACCAGTGTGGACTGGTCTTCCGGGCGTGCTGCGTCAAGGGCCAGGAGACTGCAGATTTTGCCCCTGGGGACGTCGGGGACCTCCAAGAAACAGGTAATTTCCTCCTCCCTTCCCTTAGAGAGAGGGGGAGAGTGACTGATTGGTCTTTAAGGAATTGGCTCACATGGTTGTGGATGCTGGCAAGTCCAAAAGCTACAGGATAGTTGGCAGGCTAGAGACCAGGGAAGGAATGATGTTGCAGCTGAATTCCTAGCAGAATTCCCTCTTTCTTAGGGAGGTCAGCCTTTTCTCTTAAGGCCTTCAACTTATTGGGTGAGACCCACCCACATTATCGGCTTTACTCAAAATCCACTGATTTAAAATTTAGTCTAGCCTAAAGTTTCTCCACAGTAACATCTAGATTAGTGTTTAATTGACTATCTGGGTACCATTAGCCAAGCTGACACATCAGGTTAACCATCACCACACAGCCATCAAGAAGAACAAAACCATGTCCTTTGAAGCAATACGGATGCAGCTGGAGACCATCATTCTAAGTGAACTATAACAGAAACAAAAAACTAAATACTGTGTGTTCTCACGTATAAGTGGGCCCTAAACACTAGACATGCAGGCACAAAGGCAGAAACATCAGATGCTGGGTACTGCTAAAGGAGGGAGGGGGGATAAGGCGCATACAACCACCATGTTTATTACTGGGGGAGGGGGAGGGCTCGCTACAAGCCTAAATCTCGCCTTTACACAATTTGCCTATGTAGCAAATCCTCACATATCCCTTACAACTCTAAAATAATTTTTTTTAAAAAGGCCAGGTGCAGTGGCTCACGCCTGTAATCCCAGCACTTTGGGTAGCCGAGGTGAGAGGATTGCCTGAGCCCAGGGGTTCAAGACCAGCCTGGGCAACTTGGTGAGCCCTCGTCTCTACAGTAAATCAAAAAATTATCTGGGTGTGATAGAGTACACTTGTAGTTCTGGCTACTTGGAAGGCTGAGGTGGAAAGATTGCCTGAGCCCAGCAGGTCGATGCTGGAGTGGCTGTGAGTGTGCCACTGCACTCCATGATGGAGGGAGACTCTTAACTCAAAAAAAGAAAAAAAAAATTAACCATCACGGGCAACGTGAGCAGATGTGAACATACACATTACTCTTGTCTTAACTCGGCACAGACTGAGTCCACTTGTCAGAACCATTTTATGTTTGTTACTTCATCTGAAAGCCACTATCCTGGGACCCTTGATTGGGTAAGTCTGCATTCATGTCCGGCCCTAAGTCTCCTCATCTGTGATGATTGCAGCCCTACTCCATAAAGCTGCTGGGAGGACAGAGTAGGAAAATGTAAAGTGTTGGGCGCAGCACCTGGTTCCCTAAGCATCTACCCTCACGATTTCACCCTGTCCCTCCAACAGCCCTGGGCAGCATGGGTGGCCGGTCTTGCTCTCGGTTCTCAGATGAGGATCTTATGCTCAAAGTCACATGACTGACATTCAGAGGAGGGAGAACCCTGGCCTTCCAACCGCTGGCCAGTGATGTATAGTTGGGAGGCAGGGGTGGGCATCAATAGTTAATAGCAGGCTATACTCTTTCAAATAAGAGACACTCGGCAAAGAGTCATGTGACCCCAAGGGCAGTTTCCAGAGAGCTCCCAGCTGTGTGTCCACCAGTTGTTCTTCCCCACTCTCCATTTGTCCAAAGCCTTGGGGCATGGTTCAGGAAATTTCTTGGTTGTCTAGGAATCTCTTTCACTTATGCAGTGGTTTCTTGTGCCATCTCAGAAAGAAATAATCCTGGAAAAAATGTAGGAGTCTGCCCTGCCCAAGCTTGCTGTGTGACTTTGGGCCCTTTCTCTCTTCTGTCGGAGCTTTGTTCCCCTCTGTTAAAAAAAAAAAAAAAAAAAAAAAGGAAGGTGCTAGAGGGGGTTAAAAGGGAAGAGCTCATTGACTTGTAATCTCTAAATCTGGCTGTCCATTGCTGTGACTTCACGAACCCGATGGCTTTGGGGTCCTGGGTCAAATAGACCCATCTTTTCCTTTTTGTTCTTAATTTTTAAAGTCTAGGGCCCCATGGATGCCACTGAACTGATTTCAGATGTCACAATCATCAAGGGGATTGGAACTACATTCCAGCTCCTTCCTTGGCTTTTGAAATCAGAGATGACATTTTCACATTAAACAAACCCTAACGATTCATCCCAGGAAAGGATTTGTGTCTCTGGGGAGGATTTTCACTGATTTATGTCTGAGGCGTAAGCGATCTCTGGGCTTTTCTGCGACTCCAGATGTTTTATCTCTCTCGCCTTTTATCTGCTTCAGTTCCTGCCCCAGACTCCTCAGATGCTCCCGCCTCTGGGAGGGCTTTCCCATCTTCCTCCTCACACAGTCACAGACACACCTTCCTTCCGCTGCTATCATGTCCTGCAGGCCCACTGTGTCCTGCTGAGGGGCCATGCAGAGGGTCTCCAGACCAGTACTGACCTGTGACAAATATGTTAAGTAAGAAATTGAGAGTAAGCCTTTAGAAACAAATACAAAGGTTTGATAGAGTCAGTCAGGGGACACAGTTTAGCCCACAACACTAAGCTTTTGCCGCTTGCATTGTTTCAGATTTGGAGGGTGCATCTTGGTTGATAGCAAGGCTATGACTGTGTTTGCTGAGACAGTCGAATAATTTAGGCTATATAACAGCACTCAGCATGAAGTTCATGGTTACAGACCTTTGTGCTTGTGTTCCTTTAGTTACAATTGATCTTATAGAGATTTAATAACATTTATGAGTGTAATTCTATTTTTAAAAGTATGAAATGAACACTTAGCCATTTATAAGATTTACAGATGGGCATTACTGCCTGAGAAGAGGATGTTTGGAGTTTCTTCTAAGGTAAGAGGGAACACTGCAACTGACTTGGTCTCTTCCCCCTCAGCTAAGATTTCTGAGGTGGAAGAGGAACAAGAGGACCCATACCTGAATGACCGCTGCCGAGGTGAGACCCTGGGACACCCTGGGACATCCGTGAGCCGCTGGTAGCTAATTCAATCCCAAGGAAGGTCAATGATGATATCTCATTGGAAGTTTGAGTCTCAGGGTTTGCTTCCATTCACCTTGGGAAGTGCCCTTGGCCAGGAACCACTTCCGCCCCTCCTATGGATTCTTGACCTTTCCTTTCCCATTCAGGGACTGGAGAGGGAGAGGGGCAGAGGTGGGCTTACAGAGGGGGAGTTCTGGTGAGAGCTGGTGTTAAAAATCACCCCCGTCTCCCACTGCTGGCTCCACTTGCATGTTACCTAGCTTCCCCGCTCTGAGAAGGTGACTGGGAGTCCCTCAGGGGAGGCCTTGCCTCTGTGTCCCTGGAGCCCAGCCACAATGCCATCCCCAATGGCAATACTCATTTGTCTCACAAGGGAGATGTTTGCAAAATTGAAAGAATTTAATGTAAGTAGGGCCTTGCATGCCTGTTTTTCATGTGATAAAATTTTGTGTCTCTTTTGCGGAACATTCTGGCATGTCTAGACCAGCAGGTCTGCTCTACAAGCTCATTTGTCGGCTTACCCTGTGGTTGGGGCATTAATTAGGGAGCCAGTTTAATCTCAAAATCATGTGGTCAGCTATAGCTGGCACAGGGGCCTGGGAGGGACAGGAAGGAATAGACAGAGAGCCCCCAGAAAAGCCTGGGACTCATCTCTGGGGGATGTGGGAGTATCTTCTTAGGAGAAAGTTTGCAACAGAGGAGGATGGATTAGCCAGGAAAATAATGCTGGAAGGGTCTTTTGCACAGCAGGGTGGAGACCTGACACCATGTGGAAGAGGTAGGCCCACAGCAACTGGGCACTGGTGGGTGGGGGGGGGAAGGGGAGGGACGTAGGGAAAGGCCTGAGAAGCAGGCAGGGCCCCACAGGCCCTGGGCAGCAGTTAGAAATGTATCTCAGCCGGGCTTGGTGGCTCAGCCTGTAATCCTGTGCCTTTGGGAGGGTGAGGTGAGTGGATTGCCTGAGCCCACGGGTTCGAGACCTGCCTGGGCAACTTGGTGAGACCTCATCTCTACAATAAATCAAAAATTAGCCAGGCGTGGTAGCACGTGCCTGTAGTTCCAGCTACTTGGAAGGCTGAGGCAGAAGGATCGCCGGAGCCCAGCAGGTCGAGGCTGTGGTGGCCGGGAGCAGCCACTGCACTCCAGTCTGGGCGACAGAGTGAGACTCCAACTCAAAAAAGAAAGAAAGAAAGAAATGTATCTCATAGGGTCTTTCCCAGGTTGATCTTGCTGATAAGATTTGCCCATTTTTCCTCTCTCCTTGAGAACCAGAAGAGCTTATTTCCCTCAGTCAAGATTTACAGGCAGGGATAACTAATGACCATAAGCTGAAATTTGCGCTTTGAGCCTCACTCTGGCTGCTCTATGGGAAGTGTGGGTCTTCAGGGTGATACTGGGAAGGCTCAGGGAGACCAGGTTAGAGGAGGCTGTAGCCCCAGCCAGGTGAGTGGTCCCTGGAACTGAGGCACTAGGAAAGGGCCAGTGGGGCCAGCTTGAGAGTTGCGTGGGGGTCTCACATGCGTGTTCAGGCCCTGGCCTCCTATGTGGAATGCACTCCTACAGTGTCCATGGCTGGGGCAGGGGGCAAGCTTTTCTATGCCTTGCCCCTTTCAGCTCCACTATAACCTAAAGAGGCCACCTGTACATCACCTGATTTGTCAAACAGCAGCTCCTGGGGCTGCCCAGAGCCAAACCCTGTGGGTCTCCCATGAGGGCTGTGGGTGTGCTTCAGCCCGGGGGGCCTGCCTTCCTGTGTCAGTTTGCCTGGAAGGTGTTTCCTCTAACCTAGTCCAAACAGAGCTAGAAAACCCCTGCAAGGTATCTGGTATTCACCCAGCCTAGCTCACACTTGCTCTGATTCCAGGTGGCGGGCCTTGTAAGCAGCAGTGCCGTGACACAGGAGATGAGGTGGTCTGCTCATGCTTCGTGGGCTACCAGCTGCTGCCCGATGGTGTCTCCTGTGAAGGTAAATGTCTATGGGTCTGGCTGCCAGCAGGACCGGCAGGTTACCATGCACAGAGGCCTGTGCTTGAGGTCTCAGCAGGGCCTGCCTTCCTCAACCCTGGCCCTATTCACAGGTGGACAAGAGCCCAGGACTGCTTTTCTGATACTCCCTGGAGCTGGCATATGGTGGCCCCCATCTAAGGCTCTCCTCCAGGAGAATATCAACACTGGGTTTGGGAGGGAGAACTGAATTTAGGGTCTAACCAGGCTCCAGATCCAGGATCTGCTGAGTAGCCTTGGGCATATCCCTCAGCCTCCTTATGTGTGAGATGAGGGAGATGAGGAAGATGCCGGTCCCCTCATGGGGTTCTTGAGGACCACATAACTTTAGTCCAGGCCCAGCACTTACTCAGAAAGAGCAACAGACCTGAGACTTAACAGGGGGAGAGAAATCACTGCTTTTGATTGGGTGATGAATCACCCCATTGGGTGATAGGGTGATTGGCGGACTCACTCAGTTTGAGTGGGTGATTCAATGGGTGCAGGAAACCACTTCCATGGTGGCTTTTGGCACATTGCTTCTGAGAAAGCATGAGCATCCGTTTGTTCCTCTTGTTATTCCTGCGTGGCCTTGCTCTCTCCTAGATATCAATGAATGCATCACGGGCGCCCACGCTTGCCGGCTTGGAGAGTCCTGCATCAATACAGTGGGCTCTTTCCGCTGCCAGCGGGACAGCAGCTGCGGGACTGGCTATGAGCTCACAGAGGACAATAACTGCAAAGGTACAGCATACTCTGAGTCTAAAAACCTCCTTTCCCTGGGTAGATACAGAGCAGGTGGGGGGGAAGGTGCCCTCGGGCTCCAGGCTCTGGGCTCTGGGGTACTGCGCCCCCACGTGGCTGCCTGGACGCTTGCCTGCTCATCTGCAGGAGGGAGGTGGTTTTACCTGCTTGACCGATATGGGGAGTGTGTGGACAGAGGGGATGGAGTGTGATAGGGCTGACAGTAACATTCAGAATGTTTAAAAAGTTGACATTAGTGCTGGTAGTTCTGCTCTTAAGAAAGACTTACCTTCTTACAGTGCTGAGTTAATTATGGCAAATTTGGATTTCTGAAAGGCTCAGTGCATGATCAGTTAAAAACAAGACCAGGGTGAATTTCAGGTGCTCACATGTGCTGTCTAAAAAAAAAAAAAAAAAA